AGTTTCAATTAGATCCCCGCCTCATCCTTCTAAACTCCGTCAAGTATAGACCCAAAGTCCTCAAATGTTCCTCATATGTTAAGCTTTTCATTCCTGGGACCATTCTCATGAACTTTCTCTGAACCCGCTCCAGGGCCAGTATATCTTTCTTGAGATATGGGTCTCAAAACTACGCACAATACTCAAATGTGGCCTGACCAGAGCCTTATAGAGCCTCAGAAGTACATCCCTGCTTTTATATTCAAGTCCTCTCAAAATAAATGCCAAACTTGCAGTTGACTTCCTAATTACTGACTCAACCTGCAAGTTTACCTGGAGAGAATCCTGGACTAGAACTCCCAAGTCTCTTTGCACTTCAGACCTCTGAATTTTCTCCCCATTTAGAAAATAGTCTGTTTCTATTCTTCTTACCAAAGTGCATGACCTCACACTTCCTCACGTTGTACTCCATCTGCCACTTCTTTGCCCACTCTCCTAACCTGTCCAAATTCTTCTGCAGCCTCCCCACATCCTCAATACTACCTATCCCTCTACCTATCTTTGTATCGTCTGCAAACTTAGCCAGAATGCCCTCAGTTCTTTCATCTAGATCATCTATGTATAAAGTGAAAAGTTGTGGTCCCAACACTGACCCTGTCGAATATCACTTACCATCCGCTGCCATCCTGAGAAAGACTCTTTTAACTCCACTCTCTGTTTTCTGCCAGACAATCAATCTTCGATCCATGCTAGTACCTTGGCACTAACACCATGGGCCCTTATCTTACTCAGCAGCCTCCTGCGCAGCACCTTGTCAAAGGCCTTCTTGAAGTCTAGATAGATAACATTCATTGGCTTTCCTTGGTCTAACTTGCTCGTTATTTCCTCAAAGAATTCTAACAGATTTGTCAGGCATGACCTCCCCTTGATGAAGTCACGGTGACTTTGCCCTATTTTACCATGCACTTCCAAGTATTCAGAAATCTCATCCTTCACAACGGACTCTAATATCTTAGATTGAGGTTAGGCTAATCGGCCTGTAATTTTCAGTATTTTGCCTTACTCCCTTTTTAAACAGGGTGTCATCTTAGCGATTTTCCAGTCCTCTGGGACCCTCCCTGACTCTAGCAATTCCTGAAAGATCACCACAAATGCCTCCGCTATCTCCTTAAGAACTTTGGGGTGTAGTCCATCTGGTCCCAGTGATTTATCCAACTTCAGGCCATTCAGTTTTTCTAGCACCTTCTCGTTGGTGATGGCCACCATACTCAGCTCTGCCCCATTGACTCTCTCAAATTTTTAGGATATTACTCGTGTCTTCCACTGTGAAGACTGATGCAAAGTAATTATTCAGTTCCTCAGCCATTTCCTTGTTCCCCACTACTATCTCTCCAGCGTCATTTTCCAATGGTCCAATGTCCACTTTTGCCTTTCCTTTGCCCTTTATATATCTAAAGAAACTCTTACAGTCCTGCTTATATTACTGGCTAGCTTACCCTCATATTTAATCTTCTCCCTCCTTGTTTCTTTTTTTTGTTGCCCTCTGTTGGTCTTTGTAACCTTCCCAATCCTCTAGTTTCCCACTGCCCTTCACCACAATATATGCTTTTTCTTTTGCTTTTATGCTATCCCTGACTTACCCTGTCAGCCATGGTTGCCTCATCCTCCCTGTACATGCTTCTTTTTCCTAGGGATGAATTTTTGCTGTGTCTCCTGAATTACTCTTAGAAACTCTTGCCATTGCTGTTCCACTGTCTTTCCTGCTAGGCTCCTCTCCCAGTCAGTTCCACCCAGCTCCTCCCTCAAGCCTCTGTAGTTGCCTTTATTCAGCTGTAATAGCTTTGATTCTATCTTCTCGCTTTCAAATTGCAGTGTAAATTCAATCATATTATGATCACTGCCTCCTAGGGTTCCTTCACCTTAAGCTCCCTTATCAAGTCTGCCTCATTACACAACACTAAATCCAGTATTGCCTGTTCCCCAGTGGGCTCCACCACAAGCTGTTCCAAAAAACCATCTCATGGACATTCCACAAATTCCTTTTCTTGCAATCCCCCATCAACCTGATTTTTCCAGTCCACTTGCATATTGAAATCCCCCATGATCGTCATAACCTTGCCTTTCTCACACATCTTTTCCGCCTCCTGGTGTATCTTGCACCGCAGCTCCTGACTACCTTTTGGAGGCCTGTACATAATTCCAACTATGGATTTTTTTTTAACCTCTGCTGTTCCTCAACTCTACCCACACAGATTCTACACCATCTGACCCTACTTCATTTCATACTATTGATTTAATTTCATTTTGTACTAATAAGGCAACCCCACACCCTCTTCCCATCAGCCTATCTTTTCGATAGGCTGTATATCCTTGGATAGTCAGCTTCAAATCCTGATCACCTTGCAGCCATGTCTCCGTGGTGCCCACCACGTCATATGTGCCAATTTTGATCTGCACCACAAGCTCATTTACCTTCTTTCTTACAATGCGTGCATTCAGTTATGGCACCTTCAGTCCTGTCTTAACCGTCCTTCTTCTCATTGTCATTCGTTTATCTAGTGTGCTTGAAGTTTGATTCCTAACTCTTTCCAAACACTCTGTCCTAGTTGTGTCTGTGCTGGAGACTTTAATAAACTCAAAGTACTGTGCAGAACTAATATGTGAAACAGCCTAACAACACCCATTCCTAATTCTCTGTTTAAAAAAAACTATTGTTACTACAAAACTTGTAAAAGTGACAATCAACCAAGCCTTTAAAGTATCACTAACAGAAGCTGTAAGCACTGAACACCTCTTCCTCCTGTGCGCTCATTGAGCTATTGACAATAGAGTCCAAGGAAAAAAAACTTATTATCACATTATAAAGCTGTAAATCATCTTGTCATTTGTGTCAACAAAGTAGTTCATACTTTTGTGAGTCTGCATTTTCCAAAAATTGTTGTCCTTGTCTAGAATTATTAGAATAGTATTCAGCAACAACCTCATGTAATTCAATTCTTTTAAAAAAGGGAGATTATCTTTAAGAACAGAAGGCTAGCTAAAGCACACACTCTGGGTTTTTTTTCTTGTTTAGTGTTACAGAGAGTGTGTGCTTTAGCTAGCCTTCTGTGGATTCTAGAAATCAGAAATAAAGTCAGAAATAGCTGGAAAATCTCATCAGGTTGGCAGCCTCTGTGGAGAGAAAGCAGAATTAATGATTTGTGTCCAGTGTCCTTTCTTCAGAACTCAGTAACACAATCTCAGTCCTGCTGAACATAGAGGGAGCCAGCCATGTAGCAAATGTTCAGCCCTACACTAAACCATGTAGATGAGGTCAGAATGAAATTCAAGTGGTGCTTATCTGTAAAGGAAATGATGCAAATCACAAATTCCGGGCCTGCTTTCTTTGGGAAACTTGGTCAGTATGGATGAGTTGGACTGAAGGGTTTGTTTCAGCGCAAAATGACTCTATGACTCTATGACTAATGTCACAATTTAACCTTTAGCCTCATCTCAGAATGTAGTCATAGAACTTCTGTTTACCAACTACCAATCGCTTCTCAATACACTGGCAGTAATTCACAATTTCTTAAATTGTGAACACCACCATAGATTGACATTGAATAAGTCTTCTGTCATTGATCACATTACTAAAGCTGCTGTGAACAGTGTCAACACAGTAATCTAATTTTGATTCTTGTACCACTTGAAAACATACAAGCATTGCTCTGACAATTTAGGAAATCAACTAACTGCTCAATTACATTACTGTCTTGTAATCAATCCCAGGGATCCATTACTCTCCATATTATCATATCCTCAAGTGAATCACGATACATATTACTCTGCAATTAAGACAATATCTAGTTTTGTGTAATCTTCAATCGGTCTCGTATCAGCATTATCATTGAATATTATTAGCTCTGTTTAATTTTTGTGAAATTACAAATTCTTTTTAACAAAAAGACCCAATCAGCTCATTCTTTTCTTTCACACTGTTAAGTTTATATTTGTTTGGCTTTTAATTCATCTTTTTTTAACCAACACAACCTTTCCTATATCTCTCACTCACCCCAATAACATTCTATTTTTGGGAGATATAATCCAGGACTGCTCTTCACCATACAAAATAAAGTGTAATCATGCGCCGCATATCCAAGATTCACAAGCACACTGAAAAGCTTGGATCCTGCAACTTTTTTACCACTTCAACTGTCCACCCTCAATTCCATCCCAATGTTTGAGTTGCACTCTGCTATAACTTACCCCAGTGGTATAACAGCTGCCAGGACCTGCCAGACACAAAATTTGCAACATACATATGAAAGAACTGGTTCCTGTCCTCATATAAAAACAATCACCCACCAGTACAAGTGGAAACTCTTTCAGCTAATAATACCTATTCTTGAATGTATTAGTCATATTTCATTAATACGTTGATATTATAGTTAAAATCTCAAACCATTTAAATTTTGCACCCTTATCCCAGTTTGGCTCCAGAAAGCAGATTTAATGCCTAGTCTTGACATTCCCCTCACCCCATGAGCATGCAAAGATCTAAATTCCATTTGTATGTAGCATACCTGCATTTCAGTGGTACGTGTGTTCTTGATTTAAACTATGTTGAGCTAAGCCTCATGAACACAAACACAGGATTATTATGGAAAATGAATAATCTTCATTTCTCAGTTTTAACCAAGGTTTTGAACAAGGATTCGGTAACACCTTAATCTTGCTGCCATATTTACTTCAAATTAGATATGGGAAATTTGGAATTGGCATACCCAACGTGAACACACAGAGGCAATACGGCAAACAAGAAAAGAACAGGACTGAGACTAGAAGGAAGTGTTGTTATAAGGCAGCAGTCCAAGAAACGTGAACATGAGCAGCCAAAAGCAACTATACTTTCCAAGCAGTACATGATCTGTCATCTGCATTTATAACCATGATTTTTTTCTTCTCTGGTAAACTATCGAGTTATTCCAAGCTTGCACTAGCATAATTACATACAATGATTTCCAACTAAAACAAACACTTACATTCATCCAGTCCCAATTGGTAAGCAAGATTCTGCAGCCCTCGTACTTTCTCCATTAAGTTAGCGGTAGTAAGACTTCCCAACTCTGTGATAGCAAACACATTTAATTAGGATATTGTATAGAAATGATATCCAAACCCATATATTCAATTGATACTCAAAGAAGCAAGTAAGAGAAAGTGCAAATTTACAACTTTGCAAATAGTCTAAAGCAAACTTTCATTTAAACTTTTCAAATATGCATGACACAAAGTTTTAGCAGATCTGTAGCTCGGGTTGTGGGCATGGTTGTTGACTTGCTTGCCGAGCTGGCTTGTTTTCATTCAGATGTTTCGTCACCATAGCATAGTGACGAAACATCTGAACAAAAACAAGCCAGCTTGGCGAGCAAGTCAACAACCTCATGCATGACACATTTTTCGCTGCAGAACAAGAGAGATTCTGAAAAGAAAACTACACAAAACAAAGCGAAACCACTCATTTCCATTTAGTTTTACGAGCTTCCTATACAAAACAATGTAATACTTCACAATTAGGAAACAGATACCAGAATTGTGACAAGGATGTTTGTGGAAAATTGTTAATGCTCAGTTTTTAAAAACAGGATTTAAATGATATAATAAAACTTGCATATTCAAGGAGGATTGAGAAATGGTGGCAAATTCTTCTCCTATCTCCTCTCTTAATCTTTCCAGTTTACATAACCAGGGATCAAAGAATTAGCCACTTGATATGCTAATTGCAAAAGAACCAAATTGATTTATTAACCATTCCTCTCAAGTACCTCTATGTTCTCATTCTAAAAATTAATGCTGAATACTGAATATCACTATCACACAATCACTCTTAAAATTTCAAATCCTGTCACTGTGAGGGTAATCTAACTCTCTCTTTATATGAACTTTTCCTTGTTTGTTTCTAAATTATCTGCTAGCTCTTTTTAAACATATTATTTCTCAGCACTAGACATCCTTTTCACCTCCATAATGCACATTCTATGTTCTTTGTGTTTCTCTTTACTATTCTTAATCATATTTGCACAATATATCTCCTTTATAAAGTGTTTAAGGACATTCTAAGGTTCTAAAAGGTGCTATATAAATGTAACTTATTCCTTCTTCACAGCTCTCACCTATAGCATCTTAGTTTTGTATTGCCAAGGTTTTGTTGCTTTGAATAACCCTGCATTTTACAACAAATAATTAAGGCTGATAGTAAACATAGTAAATACCTTTCAGCATGTCAATATCATCTTTTTCAAGTTCTGCCATCCATTTGGGTGGAGAGCTGGTAATAGGCTACAAAACAAAAATGGAAAAATGCAAAGACTAAATCTGTTTTACTGAATTGTATATTTTGCTTTGAGAGAATGGGTGGCACAGTGAATTAACACTGCCTTTTTGCCATACAGATTGATACTCACACCCCCATTGATACTCATACCCACCTGGAATAAACAGATGAAAATAATGTTACTGTACATATCATTGCGGGAGATTCAAGAGTTGAGAAAATACCATTGTAGTGATTGGAATAAGGGCCTGGTGGAGGTCATTGACTATGAGATCCTTGATTGGGGTTGTTAACCTGGGCCAATCGGGGAGCCCTGGCTGACAGACATAAACAGGAGATTCAGAGACTCTCCTCATTCTAGGGACTGGCTCTGAGCCGGGTGGGCAGAGCCCATGTACTGTACACATATAAATAAAAGATGACTTGTGACAGGATACAGGCCCCTGAAGTATTTCAACTGTCAAAGCTAATAGGAGGAAAGGGAGTGGAAGGTGTGTTACAGAGCTATTCAGTATGGACTGAGGAATGGTAATGTACAGGAAACACTGAGTCAGCTTGAACTGGCCATTTTTTGGTTGATAGACTATAACTTAGTAGGGTATCAAAGGATCAGCACTAGAGCCTCAGCTACCGATAGTTTTTATCAGCAGTTTAGTTAAGAAGGCCAAGTGTATAGCATCTAAGTTTGCCAACAATACAAAGTCAGGCAGGAAAGTAAGCAGACAGATGTAAAGAGGCCTCCAAGGAGACTTTACTTGCCCATCCCTGCACATTAGGCTTGTATTCAGCAGGCAGGGATGATGGTGGGGGTGTGGGTGTGGCAGCATGTATAGCAAACAGTGAGAAAAATAGGAAAGATGGAGGCCATTTCATTTACAGGGGCTCCCTTGTGTTGTATACTGGCCTCCTCCTGGCCCCCTCACCTCACCATCCTCCCCCAAACCTTGGTATTTCATGTCAGACAGTAATATATTTTTAGACACCAAGGGAATGAAGAGACATGGGTATAACGCAGGAAGGAGTAACTAAGCTCAGCCATGATCTTACTGAATGGTGCAATATGTGCAACAAAATAGACTACTACTGCTCCTATTTCTTACAGTCTTGTGGCATTATCTGTAGGTGGGTTTCAAATTGATATAAAAAGAGAATATATCCTATGTTATTCAACTAATGGGATTAATTTTAAAAGAAATTGTTTTTGACAAAGTTTCATTTCAATTGAATAAACAATTATGTAATTTTGCTCTAGAAACTAAAGACTCTGGAAAGACTGAGCTTTTATTGTTTGATTGGAGCCAAGCATTATACAAGGGTAGATTGAAAGAAACTTTTCCCCTTGGTAGAGGGATCAATGACCAGGGCAGTATAGATTTAAAGTAAGGGCAGGAAGTTTAGCAGGGATGTGTGGAAACCTTTCTTCCCCTAGAGGGCAGTGGGAATCTGGAACTCCGCCTGTAAGGGTGATAGAGGCAAAAACCCTCATAACATAACTAGTATTTAGATGTAAACTTGCGATGCTAAAGCTTACAACACTACAGGCCAAGTGCTAGAAGATGAGGTTGGAATAATAAGATATTTCTGTTTGACCAGCACAGACTCGAAGAGCCAAAAGACCTTTTTCTGTCCTGCAGTCCTCTATGACTCCATAAACCATCTACAATTATGGAAATGACATTCCTTTTGTAATAACTTTAGCAGGCTTTTTTTTCCAACAGGAATTCTAATTTTGCACAAATTATTTACTTTTTACTGAAGAATTTCTCAAATTTTTGGCCTGCACTAATATTGTGGAACATATTAATAATGGAAACTGCAAAAGCAACTACAATATATCTAATCATTTATCAGGACCAAGATACTTACACTCTTGAAAGATGCTGCAAATTCTGCTACACCTGGCACTGAAAGATACAATGAGATTGTGTGATTTTTTTTTAAAATGCTATCTACGTGAAAAGAGTCAGTATTGAATTACAGAATACTGTTTCTCTTGGGCGACTTCATGGCAGATCCAGCACAGCACACAGGCAGGAAATTGCTCTTTGCTCTGTCCTAATATTGTGCCCCAGAAATAGGATATATCTTCAGAACTTTGTGAGATTTTTTTAGTATCTCATACCAGCTATCTCACCTTGGAATTAAACCGCCAAATTTGGAACAGTTTTTGCACACCAGGAACTGGATTTGGACATCACAAGTGTATTTCACACTGGAGTCTTGCAACAAGGTAAGACAGGAGGCTTTTTATCATCAATAGTCTAAGCTTAAATCTCTGCAAGAATAATGTACTATCTTATTCCCCATCCTTTTTAGGAAGCGACACTTGAGAACAATGTACTTTATACAGAGGTTATGTCACACACATCCCCTATATTGCATAATACAAACATTCTGCTTGTACCAACCTTCCTTACTTTCATTAATGTCTGTTAATTTTTACAAATCTCTACTGTAATTTTGAGCAGTGTGTGGCTCAGTGATTAGTACTGCTGCCTCACAGCACGAGTGACCTGGGTTCAATTCCACCCTCAGGCGACTATCTGTGTGGCGTTTGCACATTCTCCCCATGACTGCATGGGTTTCCTCTGGGTGCTCCAGTTTTCTCCCACAGTCCAAAGACATACAGGTTAGGTGGATTTGCCATGCTAATTTGCCCATAGTGTCCAGAGATGTGCAGGCTAGGTGGATTAGCCATGGGAAAAGTGAGGTTACAGGGGTAGGGTAGGGTGGTGGCTATGGGTGGGATGTTCTTTGGAAGGGTTGGTGTGGACTTGATGGACCAAATGGCCTGCTTCCATATTGTAGGGATTCTACGATTTGCAACAATTTAAGAAACATCTTTTGCTACTGTGAGCTATACAGCCCACCAGTTGCCTGTGGCTTTTTAGCCCATAGTTCTGCTGTAGATTGCGATACAAAAGTGGAATCCAATCCACACCCTGCATTGTCCTGTAGGGTGTGCTTACTCACTGTGGACTCTCTTGTGGCAGGCACTGCTGCCTCTGTGAAATGTTTGGTTTATTTCATAGGTGATGCACCATTTGCATCTTGTGGTACTAATGAGATCTCATACTTTTAATCCATATGGTATTATATAGGGTTTTCAAATCATCATAGAAATATCTTACTTTGTTCTGGCCATAAATCTGGTGAAGCTCTATCCAACTTCTCAAAGCTCAGCAAAGACTGCTCCAAATCTGCACCTGATGGCATTGAACCAAAATATTAGATAAGAGGCCAGAATGATTTAAATTATATATTTTACAAAAAAACGTTTGTGGCTGAGTAGCAAGAACTAGAAGTAAGAAAAATTAGATGAAATTAATACATTCTAACTGTTACATGCAGTACTTGAATCTCTACAATCCTTTCAGAACTCCGTATCCAATTTTCAAAACTTCAGTACTGAATTTATGTAGGAAAGTCCTGAGTGCTGTAAACATAGTTTAACCCTTGAGGTACTGGCAAACAAATGAATTTCTGAGTCTTGCTGTTTTATAACTATTTTTATAACTGAGCATCACCTCTGCAGTGAGACAGAGTAACAGAAACTGCCTCAGCAGCATTATACCCATTCAGTTTAACATACTAGCAAAGTGAGCACTACCAACTCAAGGATTTTAATTCAAAGTAATAAACTAGTAAGGCTTCTTTTTAAACACACAACATGGTGACAGACAGACTTCAGAAACTTGGTCCCTCACCACAAACTACCGCATAACACCTACAATTACATAGTCAATAGCCATTTTATATGTTTAAATAGGCAGTTTCAATATTAAATGTTGACATAAAAGGATTACTAATGCATGGAAACAAAGAGGTGTACATAACCCGTTTTGTTGTAATAATATACTAATCAATCAGCGAGTAAAAAGTCAAAGATCACTGGAAAATAGAACAGAAAAGGTCATTCAGCCACTTGAGTCTCTTTCACCATTGAATTAGAACTTGGCTTTAGTGTATCTTCATGTATCTACCTGCCTTAGCTCTAAATTGCTTAACATGCATGCCTAGCAAAAAAATCTACCAATCTCAGTTTTGGAATTTTCAATTCACTTCCAACTAACAAACTCTTTGGAAAGAGATTTCCATGGTCCTTTGTGTGAAGTACTAAACATCACCCTTCATCTTCAAGCAACTTTTACGTGGACCAGGTCCGCAGATATGAATCAGTGTGCATTTGAAAAGTCTTGCAGTGTATTTACTATTAATGTTAGAAGCCTATATTTAGAATCTTCAGTAAATTATGGCATATTTACAGGCAGTTTCCATTATACACGTTAAACATATAGCATCATTTTGATATTCATATCAACGTCGTGGACATTGGTGGCTGGCCAGTGTTTCTCATCCGTCCTTATGTGCCCTTGAGAAGATGGTGGCGAACTGCCTTTTTGAACCAGTATAGTCTACGTGCTGTAGGTTGCTAGGGAAGTAATTTCAGGATTTTGACCCAGCAATAGTGAAGGAATAGCAATATTTCTCCAACTCAAGATGGTGAGTGACTTGCCGGGAAACTTGCAGATGGTGGAGTTCCCATGTATCTGCTGCCCTTGTCCTTCTAGACGGAAGGGGTCATGGGTTTGGAAGGTGCTGTCTAAGGATCTTTGGTGACTTTCTGCAGTGTACCTTGTAGGTAGTACACACTGCTACTACCAAGCATCCATGGTGAAGGGCATGGATGCTTGTGGATGTGGTGCCAATCAAGTTGGCTGCTTCTGTCCTGGCCAGTGTCAAGCTTCTTGAGTGTTGATGGAGCTCCACCCATTCATGCAAGGGCAGACTATTCCATCACACTCCTGTCTTGTGCTTTGTAAATGGTGCACAGGCTATGGGGAGTCAGGTGAGTTATCCACAGCAGTATTTCTAGCCTCTGACCTGCTCTTGTAGCCATTGAGTTTATGTCACAAGTCCAGTTGAGTTTCTGGTCAATGGTGACCCCCAGAATGTTGAGAGTGGATACTTCAGTGATTCATTGAATGTCAAGGGGCGTTGCTTAGATTGAGTTTTATTGAACATGGTCATTGCCTGGCACTTATGTAAAGTCATAGAAGTCTACAGCATGAAAACAGGCCCAACTTACCCATGCGGCACAGTTATTACTTGTCACTTGTCAGCCCAAGCCCGGATATTGTCCAGATCTTGTTGCATTTGAACATGCACTGCTTCAGTATCTGAGGAGTTGTGAATGATGCTGAATATAATTCAATCACTGGCGAACATCCCCCTCCAACTTCTTACATTATGATGAAGAGAAGGTCATTGATGAAGCAGCCGAAGATGGTTGGGCCTGGGATAACACCCTGAGGAACTCCTGCCAAGATGTTCTAGAGCTGAGATGACTGACCTCCAATAACCAGAATCATCTTCCTGTGTTGTGGAGGTGCCGGTGTTGGACTGGGGTGGACAAGGTTAGAAAGGTCAGACCTTATCTTCCTATGTGCCAGGTGTAACACTAGCCACTGGAGAGTTTGTCCCCAATACCCATTGACTCCAGTTTTGCCAGGACTTCTTGATGCCACAATCAGTCAAATGCAGCCTTGACATCAAGAGCTATCACTCTCATGTTACCTGTCTTACAATCTCTAATAGCAATGTATGTGGAGAGTCAAGTAAATGAATCTTGCTGTGTAGCAGTAATTAACAAGGTCTATAAAATAATTAACTGCATAGTGTAAACAGTAGATTACAAGTTGGACAAGCTAAATGATCAAACCTTATAGTGCACTGGTCAAACTGCATCTTAAATTCTGCATTCAGTTCTGATTGGCAAGAAATAACACAGACAGTAACAAGTCCTGGAAGCTATATAGAGAAGAGTCACAAGCTATGCTCCAGAATCAAAAGACAGAAGCTTGGAAAAAATTGACATTTTAGCACTGATGGAAGATATCGAAGGGTTGATTTAATAGAGGCATGTAAGGCTGAATTGAAAAAGTTAAAGAAATATTGAGTTGTTATGTAATTGAATCAAACTGGTCAGTTCGAAAAATTAAGAAGCAATATAAATTCAATGGTTTAATTTTTAAGTGATGCAGTTACAGAGTGACCTGGAACAAAAATTGCCGGAGAAACTCAGCAGGTCTGGCAGCATCTGCTAAGAGAGAAAGAATAGTAATATTGAGTCCAAACTATTCTTTGGAACTGGCTTCACATACACAAATCTTTGAAGACTTTTTTTTAACAACCTTGTCAAACAGGCCCCAAATAGAAGTTTAAAGTACAAGAGCAAGAAAATCATGATAAATCTTTATAAATTATTGGTAAGATTTCAGTTGGAAACATTCCACAGCATCCACTCTGACAACCACACATTTTACGTAGGTTTTCAAGCCTTTACAAAGGGGATTTTATATTTATTCATTCATGGGTTGTGGGGGCATTCAAGAGTCAGCCATATTGGTTTGTGGTCTCATTTAAGCCAGCCCAGGTAGGATTGTAGATATCCATCTCTAATGCCATTAGTAAACCAAATGCGATTTTTGTAACAATTGGCAGTGGTTGCATAGTCACCATTGGCTAGATTTCTTTCTATTAAATTCAAAATTTGCCCTCCACCATTGTGGGATTTGAACCAATGTCCAAAGAATATTATCCTGAGGTTCCAGATTATTAGGCAGTATCATTGATATTGTTCTCTTTAAACAGAGAAAGTTAAGAGTGTCCAATTCACATAACATTTGATAAAGTAAATAGGAGAGATTATTTTCATCAGCAGGCAAAATACTTGGCAAAAATGTTGGCTGGGATGTTATGGTGTCAGAGGATCAAAAATTTTGTTTACACAGCAACTTGACATAGGGCATTTCAGATAATGTCAAGGAGTGGAGAAACAGATTCAATTGAATCTTTTAAAATTGAATTTGTAAAATAGAGAAAATATTTTCACAGCCATGGGGAAAGAGGAAGGGACTGTGATGAGTTGGATAACTCTTTTATATAGGCATGACAGACCGAAAATGCAGTAATGACACGATGTTTCAAGATGGCTTCAAGACAACAGAGAACTTCAATTCAATCAAAAAGTTACTGAGCAAAGTACAAGACTGTGCCGGCAAAAAACAAACCTAGAACGATTCACAACAAAAGTAATTTAGATGTTAAAGCAGGAAGTGTGGATTAGAGTGGAACAGAATACCCCTGGATTAAAAATTAAGCTGAGGCATTGGTGGTAATGCTATAAGGGCGTGTAACAAATAGACCTGTCAAATTCTGACAACAATGTAGTTTAAGTTTCACAGTAAAACCTTTACTCTAACATAACTAATGGAGCAGGGGAATAAGAGGAATTAAACCCAAATTTAAATCTAGTTTTAACCGCTCCTGTAGTGATTGTAACAAGTTTAGCCAGTTGGATATCATAGAAATAACATAGTGAGGAATTGGAGGAACACAGCAGGCCAGGCAGCATCAGAGGAGCAGGAAAGTTGATGTTTCGGGTCGGGACCCTTCTTCAGAAATGGGGGAGGGGGAAGGGAGCTCTGAAATAAATAGAGAGAGGAGGGATGGGGGTGGGGAAGGTAGGTGATAGGTGAGTGCAGGTCGGCAGTGGTGGGGATTGGTCAGTGAGGTGGGAGGAGCGGATAGGTGGGAGAGAAGATGGACAGGTTTGTTAGGTCAAGGAGGCAGGGATGAGAGGGAGGGTTGGTCATGGGATGTGGGAAGATTTGAAACTGGTAAAGTCCACATTGAGAACATTAGGTTGTAGGCTCCCAAGGCAGAATATGAGGTGCTGCTCCTCCAGTTTCCGGGTGGTGTCATTGTGACATTGGAGGCGGCCCAGGGTTGACATGTTGCCGAATGGGAGGGGGAGCTAAATGGTTTGGAATTGTAAGGTTGTCATTTGTCGCGAACAGAGCACAGGCGCTCTACAAAGCAGTCTCTGAGCCTCCACTTGGTCTCACCGATGTAGAGGAGGCCACATCAGGAGCAGCGGATGCGATAGACCACATTGGCAGATGAGCAGGTGAACCTCTGTCTGATGTGAAAGATTTTTTTGGTTCCTTGGATGGAGGTGATGGGGGAGGTGTGGGGGCAGGTGTAGCACTTCTTCCGGTTGTAGGGAAAGGTGCCGGGTGTGGTGGGGCTAGTGGGGAGTTTGGAGTGGACGAGAGAGTCGCGGAGAGCACGGTCCCTACGGAAGGCAGATAGGGGTGGGGAGGGAAATATGTATTTGGTTGTGGGGTCAGATTGCAGGTGGCGGAAGCGGCAGGGAATGATACGTTGAATCCGGAGGTTAGTGGGGTGATACGTGAGGACAAAGGGGATTCTGTCTTTGTTTTTGTTGCAGGGAGGAGATGTGAGGGCAGAGGTGCAGGAAACACAAGAGATGCGGTCAAGAGCATTTTCGACCACTGAAGGGGGAATGTTGCTGTCCTTGAAATAAGAGGACTCCTGGGATGTTCGGGAGTGGAATGCCCCATCTTGGGAGCAGAAATGGCAGAGGCAGAGGAATTGCATCAGCTGTTCTTACTATCTCTCAGTGGATATCATAGAATATGAGTTCCCTGACTGGGGAATGTTAATCCGGTCCAATCAGTGAACCCTAGCTGACAGCTGGCTGTAACAGAACTGGATCAATGTCGAGAACTCTCCACTTGTAATTAAGATGACTTGGTGATGGGATAACGGTCTCTGTGGAGTTATTTCAGTGGTGACAAGAGAAAAGCACGTTCTGAAGAAATTTGCTTGCAACAGTTGTCTTTAAAGTTGGGGTAAGCATTTCTGACATTATGTCGTTATTTGGGAAGCTTGACTCGTTCGATCCTGCCATTGAAAATTGGGCCCAGTACGTGGAAAGAACGTATTATATTTTTCCGGGCAAATGACATTGGGGCAGATGAAAAGTAACGAGTAATTCTCCTGACAGATTATGGACCTGCAGCTTTTTTGGTTATTAGAAGCCTAACTTTCCCTGAGGCACCAGATACTAAAACCTTTCAACAGTTGTTGGATTTCACGAAGGAATATTATGACCCCAAGCCTCCTCTAATCCTGATACGCCATCAGTTTTACTTGGCTATTTCTGCACCAGGGGAATATGTATTGGGATTTTTGGCCGAGAGTCTGTTTGGTGCGTGGAATTAATGACGTAACCATGCTATGATTACGTAGGTAAATTTGTAATCATAACAGAAAACAAGCTTCTGCTTGGTCTACTTAAACAGGACAAGGCAGTGCCGCCCATAGCTTCAAACCAAATTCAGCAGTGACCTCTAATACTAAATGCATATAGTTTCAAGTTGGAACACTGTCCAGGAGGCCAAGTAGCAAATGCGGGTGCATTGAGCTGCCTCCACTGGCAGATACACCACAGTGGTACCACCATCAGAAGAGTCCATAATGTTTTCAAATCTTCTGGACACACTTGCAGTCACAGTTGACAATATCAGACTTTGGACTCAGAAATATCCGGTCCTGGCAAAACTGAAACAGCTGGTGGTGATGGGGGAAGCCAAAGGGCCATCACAACCAAAACTGAAACATTTTTGGACCAAGAGAGACCAGATCACAGTAGATGACGGCATATTATTTGGGGAGTAAGTGTGATTGTCCCAAGCAAAGGCCACCACCAGATACCGGCTGAACTCTACTGGGTATTCCAAAGAGAAGATGTTAGCAAGAAGTAACATTGTTCTGAAGTGTCACTGGACCTGAAACATTAACTTTGCTTTCTCTCCACACATGCTGCCAGACCTGCTGAGCTTTTAAAGCAATTTCTGTTTTTGTTTCGGATTTCTAGCATCTGCAATTCTTTTGGTTTTTATTGGGAAGTAATGTCTGTTGGCCAAGATTGGATGCAGACATGGCTGCATTGGTGGGCGAGTGCACAGTGTGCCAACAAAGATGAAAATTACCACTAACAGCTCCCCCACATTCGTGGGAATGCCCTGGAATTAGTTACACGTCAACTATGCAGGTTCTTTCATGGGCTTGACATTCTTAGTCGTTGTGGACACCCACTCAAAGTGGCTGCATGTCCACAGAGTTCATTTGTCAAACATGAGGATGATGGTAGAAAGACACAGACTGCTGGAAGTATTGGTCACAGATAACGAGCCATCATTTACCAGCAGGCAACGTGAATATTTCCCAAAAGTCAAATGGTATTTTTCATACAAGGACAGCTCCATACCATCCGTCACCAAATGACATGGCATAAAGAGCAGTGCAAACTTTGAAGACAGGCTGAAAGAAACAACCCACAGCATCACTAGATACCAAACTATCCCAATTCCTATTTGATTATAGGACCACCCATCATGTAACCACAGGGATAGTTCCAGCAGAGTTGCTAATGGGAAGACGACTCTGTTTAAATCTTATCTTCACAGATCCGGGGGAACGAGGGTGAAACAGCATCAAGAATGCCAATGCCAGACTCAAGACTGTACTAAGTGAGAAAGACAGTTTATTTCAGGGGACAAAGTTTGGTGTAGGAACCAAAGGAATGGCGCTAAAAGGCATAGTCAACACGTGTTCAGGTCCAGTGATGTATACAGTTCAGGTAGGTATGATGATCCTGAACAAGCACGTGGACCAAATGAAAGCTGCAAACTTGCAAACGGTGCAGGACCAAAACATGTCCAGTTCCTTGACTGCCTTTCTGATTGTTCCAGAACCCGTGGGTTCGCCCTCTCCGTCAAGCGTTGAAGATACCGTAGAATCTGAGATGGATGTGGCAGATGTCGCCACCTTGACATCACAGTCGCCTGAAGAGAATGAACTTCTTCCAAGACACACCGGGCACAAGTGGCGTGCTACTGTGCATTACATACCACCCATATCCAAGGCAGAGTTGGAGGAGTCTGAGCCGGTGAGCTACGATAAAAGAAACACACCAGCCTATATTCTCAGACTCAGAGGGAGAGGGGTGTAATGATTGTAACAATGTCAGCCAGGTGGACCTCAAAGAATATGAATTCCCTGATTATGGATGTCAATCTGTTCCAAAGAGGGAGGCCTGGTTGACAGATAAAACAGAAGTGTT